TGTTCTCTGTTCATAGAAGCAGTACATAGATTCTCATGAATAAATAAAACATTATTGATATTCTGAACTATTTGCATCATAAACTTTTTAAAAACACTTTCCAAATATTAATGAATAATTTGTCTGGGGACACTTTCCCATTTATGATTGAAAGTAATCCTAATTTAGGGGGCAAAACAGACCAAAAAATGCAGGGTTTACTTGTTAATATAATTTTGATTGTAATTGTTGTTTTTGACAGATCAATATGCTCTTTCAGTATCATCCTGACAAGCATTGATTCTTCCATATATAATTTGTCTTGGTCAAGATCCCAAAGTCTGAATTTTTTCTTAGTCTTCAATAAAACAATGTGAAATGTTAAAATACTTGAATCAAAGCCAGTAAATTTCAATTGTGTGTGTTTCTAAATTATAAGGATTCTATCTAGTAAAGTGAAAAAGCAAATTAAGGGGGCATACTCTTTATACTTGTTTTTAATGTACTTAGAAGTTCTGATGAACCACTAATACAACATTCTACTCTCTATGTTGATGCCATATTTTTGGAAATAAGGGCTTAAAAATTACACATAGTACATAGCACCCAATGTATGGTAAACGTAATGACACAGGAGGCCTTGGATTCAGGTGTATTTCATAGGAAAAGCATATAGCAAGAAAGTACAGTGGTTAAAGCTCATCTTTCACAGCCTGATTTTGAGTTCTATTTTTAATCAATGTCTGGAGAATAAATAATTGTTTTCAAAATGAAAACAAGTGGGAGAACCTAAAACCTCACCTAAAAAATCATTACACCCATTGGTCAGTGGCCACTGTGCATAGTTTACCTAGAAGGATATCCCTCAAATCACTTATTTTTCTAATATGCAATTGTACACATTGCCTACAAATGAATTAACTAATTCTAATATACTTTTAATCATATTCTAAATCAAGAATGTAACAAAGAATACAAAATGATCAGCAGAAAATTTTCAGATAATCATTTTTAACAAATTTACTGAGAAAAAGCTTCTGCCTCTGATGAAAATTTTGTTTCAAGAAAGGTACTGGATCATCTTCTAAAGCAATTTCAAAATGGCAGCCACTACTCTGTAGGGATATGAAGGCTATGGGAAATAAACTACATGCATGTCACATTATATCCTAAATAATCTGTGCTTTGATAAAAATAATTGTTTCCAGCAATGTGCATCTC